GCCCTATTGCATTGACCCTTTATTTGCACTGGCCTCTAATTTTTTCGTTTGATGATTTAGTCGAAATCTGTTTCATTTTTTGTGAAGAAACGTATATTTATATTGGCTTTCCACCTTGATTGCCAATAATTGCCAATAGTTCACTACTTCAATTCTGTAAATCAACCAAAGACACTCTTCTCTAGTGTCTTTGATTCAACAGACAGCGGACAGATCACATGTTCAATTTTGATTTTAAATCAAATGTGTTTTGTTTTTTCAGAATGTGCTACTTAATATAGACTACTTATATTATGGTCATATTATGAGTTCTGCTGCCATAGCAACTGGAGGTAATGAGAAATATTTTGATATTAGATGTACATGCAATATTCAGACTTAGATTTCAATGCTGGACTTGGGGCTATTCACAAACACAACTGAAAGGTTTGATTTTTATTCCAACAACAATTCGGTGATAACATGCCTTACATACTTTGTACTCTTGCTGTATCGTCTGATTTAATTAGGTAATTTTAGCTCAGTATTTAAATTTAAATAAACAATATATGTTGTCTCTTTTAAAGAAGACATCTCTATTATCTTGGGATACATGTGTTTATGTTGTATGGGAAAAAAGAACAGATATATGTATCTAATGAATACGACTGACAACAAAATGGTTCAGGCAGATTATTTTGTTTTTAATTTTCAACTATTTTCAGTGTTTGATCTAGGCTGCGCCATTGCGCAATTTGCGCAAAAAAATCAAAGTTGACACATTTTTCATAACACTGTGCGCCAGTTTGGGCGCAACATTTTTGTTCTGCCAATTTAATGAAAGATTTACGTAGTTGAGTTTGTTTTTACTGTAAAGTGGCTGATTGATCTGAACGACTCTTTACTTACTCCGTAGCGACATCTTTTGCGACAATAATGTCGCAAATTTTATCACATGACCACTTTAAGTGGACCGTGTGCAAATAAACAGCATGGCAAACAAAAGACAGCGCTTGATGAACGAGTTCATCCTCAGGGCATCAGTTCCAGCCACCGAAGAAAAGGATACCTCAGAAACAGTCTCTGAGCCTTCCGAAGGTTTGGAGGGCAGTGATACTTGTTCTGATGTTAATCGGCGGCACCCACAGGTACGTAAACACAATCATAACAATGTTACGCAGTAACGCTATTCGTTGTTTTCAATGCTAATGTTATTTTAATAAATTACACTTTTACTTTGAAAATTATGACCAGAAAAGAAGTCTACTATACCATGTATTATTTGCAGGTCAACATTACATTACACGTGAAACCAAAATATAAGGCTAATTTTTTTATGTCCATTCAATTGTTTACATTTATTGCGTGTTACGTGATTCTTCACTACGAGTGCGTTGATGATTCAAGCGCCGGTGTTGGCGCCAGAGTTTTGTTATTTTGTTTCTAATTTCTAGCTGGGCACTTTCAGTCTAAACTTAGTGAGCAATGTATTGCGATGTCTATGTTTCACCTCTGAATAAAGATCCATAGACAATCGATCTACTTCCTATCTATTCTGAGAAACCTTAAAGTGTTTTGTGGGACGCACCCAAACGTATTTTCTCAACCACATAGGCTATCAGAAATTAATTTATAGCATGTATTCTATAATATAATTCAAGAACTCGGGGTGATGTTTAGGTTTTTCTGGTGCTACGTCCTTATAAAAAAGCATAGGTCTTAAAAACTGACAATAAAAAAACTGAAAATTTTTTAAAAATATTTTTTATTGATCTATGCAAAATGATTTGATTTTAATTGAGAAACTTTTGAGTTTCTTGTTTTGTTAACACTCTCGCTGTATTTTAAAAATTCCCAGCAATAGTGATTGATTTTTTTTTTATTTCTCTGAGTATCATGTAAAAACATGTTCAAACAAACTGGCTTATTTAGTTTCATTACTGTAGTTTTTTCATGGACATTATAGCAAATGTAAAAGTTATGTGCACATAGGCACAATAGTTCACAGACACAACAGACATAACACCAATAGTCAAAAAAATTGCTTCATTTCACAATGGTTACAATATTAGAATTTATCTTGACTCTTCCAACTTTCTTTTTCTTGCAGGAAAGGTGGTTATCCATATGGCATTGGTTGTACTTCGACAATGAAGGCATGTTTTGCCAGATCTGTAAG